CAGACTGGTTAGTTGCGCATTTTAAAGTACCATTCTGCATTGCTACCATGTGACTCTTGAGTGAGTTAGAAAGTATTAGTTCGGATTTATAAGAAGTTGAACATTCAATAAAAACACGTCAAAAAAGATCGTTCTAATATACAAACCAACCAAAATCTTTTTAGGTTCCACCTATATGGCTTCAGACCTCACCGAAAGAACATGAAGACAGACTGAGGAAGTATGTGGAGGACAATCTACGATTGGCGGAAAGCTTATCTGACTCCGGACGGAATAAGGGCCATGAAGAAACGACGGAAGACTTTGGTGGTTTACAGTCCTTGCGCGTACATCTAGAGAGCAGAAACAGCGGAAAAGTTTTGCTTGAACGCACTCGAAGTTCAGCAAAATACAAACCCTTGGTACCGATTGAACCATACACTGGTAGGCGTTTTTGAGGGATCTTGTCTACAACTCCTGAAGGCAGTTCAGTCACCATGCTTTCCAAATTTGTCGATATATTCTATTGAATGTCTATAAAGATATAATATGAGAGAGATGCAGTCGTATTTTGTACGTTTTCATTACTAAATTATTTTCACTCATTTTCTTCTATTAGTGCACAAGCGACCCTAACATTGACGGCCTCGTTTAACAAAAAATTGTAATGGAAAGAGAAATAAATAGAAATTGACCCTCACGAATTTGTTCGGACTGATCGTTAAATTGATTGTTTTTATGAATTTAATCTTTCTTGAATTATTGATATCATATCTACTATCTCTGTGAGTGTTAGGGGTATTTGGAAAATTATCATATAGGCTTGCATGGATTTGAATGCCCCATGAACTTTGGAAACAAGTTTAGTCAGCTCGAATGACCCCATTGCTAAACGACGACAACGTTATTTCATAAGGTAATTACTTTTGGGCCAAATTTAGTTTTATTTTGAAGTTCGTTCGCTAGATAATCCATAAATATATCAACAATTATACAGATAAGTCTGATAGCATTTTGTATACATATACGTTTCCTCCTCTCTATATGTCTCATCAATTCTTCAGTTAAACAAGGTGAGAGCAATCGGATTATTCTATCAAACTATGTTTTGTTTAACCAATTTGTGGTCAGTTAACATTAATTGAGAGGAAAATATGGAATATTTTCCCTTCCTGTCTGACATAGATCTCCTTGTACTATATACACAAATGTTCTATGTGATTCGAAATGTTGAATATCTTTTACCCAGTTGAGATATGGTTCTCATCTTCATGCTCCAGTGAAACAAACAATTGAAATGCGTTCATTATAGATACTTTATTGGCACAGAACAATTCTGGCTGCATAGCAATGCGAATACAATGGAATTCTTCTTTGTCGATACGCGAGAGTAGCCAAAATGAGATAGATTTATCTGGCAATTAGCAGCCTACGCACTGTATGATAAGGAAGGTTAATTTGGTTATGGTAACTACGAGGATTATCGGCAAGGGATCTGTTCAGCTAATGTATCTCGTTTAAAATCAAAAATGCATTATCTCAATTCTCGCGGTCGGTGAAAAAAACGGTAGTGATGTGTCTCCTGATGAAGCTCCTTGCCAATCCATTTAATTTTACTGTGCTACGTATCAAATACAGTTTGTCTAGCAGCAAAGGAAACTTGATGGGCTACATCAGCCTCGCAGTTCATCACATTACTTTTGCTGTATTAACACGAAAATCCGTTGTTTTTCCGTTTTTCATGTGTTTGTCATAGACAAATGTTTTTAATGACAACTATAAAGACAAATGTATTTAAATGTTGGCCTCTGTCGAATACAGGACAATAAGCATATGGTGTGAAAAGCCAGCAAGCATTGTATGTCGGTTACGATTTTGTTTGTAATATTACTCCGAAATGTTTTCGACCCGAAATATAAAAACCGAATAGCCGTTCCTAAACTAACCTTAGAGTAAATGCTTCTCACAAAGAGAAATGAGGAAATGTAGGCCAACTGGTTGCTAGGAGGTACAAAAACGGCTGACTGTAACTCTTTATATTGTTGACTAGAGCTCCATTGTTTTTGCCTATTATAATCAATAAAATTTGAAACACTCCAAGATCAGCCTATTAAGTGTCTCTCCTGCTTCGTGTCACATCTCTGTAGTCAATGGTTGATTTGTCTAACTTTTTTAATTCTGCTTCTTTATGATATAAAGTGCTTTACAACTTGTGGGAACTGAAACTTGAAATATTTAATCACCAATCATAAGATAAGTTCACTCTCTGAAATTAAGAACCCATATTTTCTTTCTGGCAATTCCAGCCTCCCATACAAGTTCAAACGTTTAGCCTTTCAATGGACATCTTGAAAATTTCCTCTGTTTAAAATATTTTCTATCATTGTCATCGACATTACTTTTCATTCCAACTCGTTGTGATACGTCAATGAATTTTGCGAGTGATTGCATCGAAACACTTTTCCTTCTTTTTTTTCTGGTCGTTATGTTGAGTTATCCGCTATTTTTAGTGATTTCTTCCTTGTTTGATGGTTTTTAGTTGAATGACTATAAAATTCACACTGATTGCGGATACAGCAAAATGATGATTAATATATTGAAGACGGACTGTTGTTTATCAGTTCAAAATCCCAAACTCCTCATACAGTATCCCCAAATGCGTGCACTGCTTTTTCAGAGATTTGCCTAAACCTTTCCAGTGTTTGAATGTGTTTAATGTTCAAACCGTTTTGACTATAATTATCCGATCAAAAGGGTATGATCCTAAAAATAGTATGCATTTTATTTCCCGTCAGCTGCGTACTCAAACAATTCGTATTCATTCTCTTAATTTTTAGTGAACAGAAACGTACAAAATCGTTTTTGAGAAAATGGTAGGCAGGTAATCACAAAGCCCTCAGGAGACCTACGGTAACGGGAACGTTGTTATCATAAATCTGAATATCCAGTCTAGAGGATTAGGCCGTGTAATTATTGTCACCATCTCTGAAGTCTCAGAGCTACCTGTTCATTGGACGGAATTAAAATTTTAAGTGAAATAGTTTCAGTTCTTAAGTATCCCCAAAAGAAGATTCCATTCCAATCTACAATATGAAGCACAAACTCAATGGAAGTGTATCAAATAACACAGAAACCCGAACACTGTTCACCTTCTCGCCCAAACCTAACCTCATGACGCACTCACCCAAAATTAATCCTCTAAAACTATCGACTAGAATGCCGACATCATTTATATACCTTAAGAATGTGTGGTAATTGAAATTCTCTAACAATTTTACGTTGTTATTGCGCTCAAAATTGATTATTTTAAGGACAAAGAGGCACTTCTCATCTCCCTGGGATCGGTAAATAGAAGTAGAAAATCGGCCACTTGCAAGTATTTCCATTACTAAAAGTTAGACTAAGAATTTGGCGAAGCTTTACGCGTTATTGTTCTCAGTCAAAGCGGAATGGATGATACCTTTGACTAATCTTTATATTTCATACAATGCCATCAAGTTATGTGAAGTAGCATCTCATTATCATATAATAAGATAGTAACGTCTCCGGGCGGTGGTGGCCCGGGGGTAGCGTCGCCAATTGTCACCCCGGACGACGTGTGTTCGATAACCCACCACCACCGTCTGTCTTTACCCAGTAAGCGTTGCATGGCAGCCCTTTGAGTGGCCGCTTCCCCTTCCTGAAAACTGTATCTTTGTATACTCAATAGAAGGAAGTGAAATTGAAAATTACATATATTATGAACAAGTTCGGTACAAATTATGAGTCACCGTAGAATGAGAATTCGCAATGGGATTTCATGTTCTACACTCATATACATGCAGTAGATATGATCCTCCATATTCAAATACTCATAAAAATATTGTAGCTCAGAATTAACTTTATTGGGAACCAAATACTCGATATCATTACCCGATTATTTCTTGTCATCGTCTCATTCATCAAATCGTTTCTAGTCAGGGCACAATGCTTACCTTAATGTCTGATTATAAGTAGTGGTAGTAAACTTCTCGTAGTAGTAGGTAATTATGATATCAGCACCGTAGCTCATTGTTTACATGCCCTCATAAATTCCTTTCTCATCTGCTACTCTGATGATTTTGACCAGATACATTACAATCGCATTTTTGAGAATGTCTTTTTATTGTGTGCACTTTTAGGGATACTAATGTTAGACTATGCTACGTGCATTGAACATGACACAAGCTTTCACGTGATTCAGTGAACTAGAAATAGGTAAATGAACGTGCCGTCCGTGTGAACACTATAACCATTGTTATAATCAACATGTGCACCGCTGAAGTGAAATCCAGCTGCATATAGTATCTCGAGTGACCTTTATCATTGTAACTAATGAGAAAAAGCACATTATAATAATTTAACTGGAAGTTTCGTCTTCCGCTTCGTACAACAATAAAGCTTGAAATTTCTGGCGGCCGCTTCAGTTGCTCATTCCGGGATGAAGGAGTGGGGAGCGGTAGCGGAATACCGGAGACAGTGTAAAAATGGAAGCTAGTTAATTCGGACTGACTGAAATCCAATAGATGAGGAATTAGTTTCTGCCAACCATTGGACCAATTGACTGAGAAACTGAAACAATAATTTACTGGTGCCTAGGGGTAAAATAGATAGAACACTGCATACGCCTTTTTGAGATGAATGCCCTCCGATAGCGCTGATTTTGCGTTGAATCACCACATGAGGGTGATGTTTTAATGTTCTCATTTCTGTTAACGAAGTTTTTACTTTTTATATTCATTCAGTTCAGGAATAAAACCGGAATACAAATAATGGAGATATAAAGTATAAATGGTAAAGCTTGAACCGGTCTGAACACTACAAATGGACGTACGACCTGAATGCGCTTGTTCATCAGTAATTATGGTTAGATAATGGCATACAAAGAAGCTTATTCAGTATCATATAAATAGTTGTGGTAAATATATCACCTGCATATCTTTCAAATTTTCTAACTCTCTTCGGACTTTCAAGAGATCTGTTTGAAGGAAACAGAGTCCTTCGTGTCTGAGATCAGATCCGCGGAAAATGCATTAGGGGACTACAAAAGTGACGCGGATAGCATCGGCAGTAATGTAGCTCAGACCATGGAGGATTTTGTCTCACGATTTCCCGAGATAGAAGTGACTGTACGTCCTTGGATTGCGAGAGTGCACAAATTTTCTGAGCAAGACGAAAATGGGAATGAAACTTTTCTGGATCGGTTCGCAATGAATGAGGCAACAACAGCAACAAAGTGAGTCTGAAAACTTTTTCTTTGTTCTCGTTTTATCAGACATGTTGAAACATCTGTAGTGAAATTAAACTGTTCTTAATGAAGGATAAATTGACTTTGGGCGGCTGATTATAGTGTTCTTTGATATAACTCTCGTTTCGTGTGTACTCGCCATGCAAACAGTGGATGGAGAAATACACCGATCGATCTCTGTTTGCAGTAGACTTGCTCGGAAGCACAGCAAACAAAACCGAAACAACTTGTATACTGTCCTTACGATCATTTAATGAGATTTTATCATAAACTGCACTGATCGCTTCGAATTAATTACGGCATGAGATTATATGGATACCAGGGATATGACTGAATGAACGTTAAAATGTCGCGACAACCGGGCGGATAAATAACGTGCGAAATTTCACAGATGATTTTCCATCAACCCACAGTCACTGCGTAACCTGCGGGTGTATGAAGCAATGAATTCAATAAAACCCACGAAGGTCGGTATTTTGATCAACCGCCTTCTTCTCACCGTTTGTAAATGAAGGAGAAGAAAGATGCAGAAAGAATACAATCCCATATTGAGCGGGAATCATTTAAGATGTTAAACGTAGACATGTGATATATATATATATATAGTGCTGGCCGATTGTGATGCACTAAAACAACTTCTTTATGATCAAATGTAGTTTCATTATTTTTAACACCTATATTAATGCCTTCGTTATAGACAATAGTTTATATCTTATCTACTTGGATCTACGTAGTTTCTAATCTGCATGAGATTCTATTAAACCTGCCTGACCTTGACTGCCAAGAATAAATAATCTCAACTTGAAAATCGCAAAGATTATCAAGTATGACAATGCAATATCGTTTGGTCTACCCAGCCAATCAGAATTTGACCTTTGTCATTCATCTACTGTCTCCCAGTTCATACTGGGTCAAAACGTTCCGTCGCACTATGTCTGGGACTGACGCACCAAGTGCAACACAAGGATTAAGAGTATG